CAACGTTCTCGGCTGATGGTACGTGATATAGGTTAAGCACGCAGTTGCAATCCATAGTAGCCTGAAAAATGGACTTCAAAGCCTCGGACAAACCATGGCACTTTGCGGACTGCCTGTTCCAAGCGTGAAGGAGGGCGGTGCTATCGACATAAACGTCTACCCTGGAATCCYGGAGGGTTATCYTAAAGGACTTGATGGCATTCGCGAGAGCCAAGGCTTCTTTCACGGCGATGTCTRAAGGGACGACGTCATCCGGCCAGTAATCTGAGGCGACGAGCGGGATGCCTGTTGCTTCCAGCACACTCCCCCAAGCATACGAGGATGCGTCTGAGTACAYGAGGAGTTGGTGGTGGACCTCAGAGCGCCAGGGAACAAAACCCGACCARGACTTGATAAACATCCAATGCTCAATCTCTTCCCGTAACGCCTTTGTCAACGGTACAGGCCGAKACGACCTGGCCGCCCTGGAAATCGCCATRTTGATCTCGTTGGTGTACAACCTGGCACCTGGYACAGCYAATGAAAGCGWAACGCATTTGCCAGACAACCTCTGCAAATCAGCCAGGGCRAYTCGCTGTGAACTCAGCATACTTTCAAGTRGGACAATGAACTTCTCTTTTTTAGCTGGAAGTAGGCGGAATGCGCATACGCRCGAGTCGCATTCAAAACCGAGGTATGGGACCGAASGGCTAGGCTTGAGAATCGATTTGTCCAGCCCAATACAATAACCCAGCTGGATAAGTGTGTAACAGACTATAAAACAAGCCGTCTTGGCACAAGCYATGTCCAACTCGGACYYTGAGCTCCGAGATCTTGCYACATCTGRGCCTGCCGGGAGGCGAATCTGCGACGTGTGGCGGTCGTCGATATACAAAGAGCAAGGGATGTTGACGGAACGGAAGTAGTGGCTGGCTAGCAGGCCCGTCGAGTGGTACACGAACGCAGACAATTTCCAACCAAAAGGGATTGTGTTACTCGTAAAAAACCAACCGCCCCATTCGAAACCAAAATATGTTCTGCTARCCTCAGACAAGAGGATGTGATCATATCCGGATTTGTCGTCGCACACTGTCTGGTACGAATCTTTACTCACGTACAGAGGCAACTGGCTTAAATGGTCGAGAGCAAAGGGACGATCAACCATCCATAGATTTAAGAACCGATTGTCGTTACACAGTCGGGGCTTTGAAGGCTCTACCGTCAGGGGCATGACCAGATGGGGGGGTTCAACATCACCAACCTTACCCCAGACAGAAATGGCTCCGGTTGCCAGACGCTGCGCAATGGAGTCCCTAATGAACTCGGAGAAGCGTGCACATGATGGGTGGTTAGAAAAAACCCGTCGGGGGGGGAACATCCGAGTCAAAGTGTTCGCCCTTAAAAGGACCCTTGAAATGGCGAAAATACTGCTGCACCTGTATCTTGTTTTCCAGCCAGTCAAGAACTGTGTCGCTAAGGGAGTACTGGGAGATCTCCGCTATACGAGACCACACGTCCAGACGCTTGTGGAGCTGGCCCGCGACAAAACTACTGGGGTTGGGAAAGAGGAGCGAGCTAACATCGGCCTCGTGGTCACCCGCAAGAACCCTGYTTATCCAATCYCAAGRAAKGTGCTCGTTGTATGGCAGGGCCTCCGAAACGTTTTGAACACAGTCTGCACCTTCCAGGTGCACCCAAGTGACAGAATGAGGCCTCACCGACAACGGATCGAGATGATAACGCGTCTCCCATTCAGGAACCTGATGAATTGTTTTAATGCGCTTAGAARGCTGAAAACAAAAAGAAAGGTAGTAAAACGAAGGCCTTTTGCGCAACGGTATTATGTCGTCCAACCGGCCCCAAGGGAAACCAATGAAGTCAAGGATATGACCAATTTCAATTTCAGTTATTTACACTAATTCGTAAGATATTCGTAAGACCAATGTAGAACGAAAAAACGCTTCGAGAAATATTAACTGCCCGCATCTGTCGTAGGTCAGCCTCGTAATAACCGATTTACAGACCTTTACGCAATAGCGACATCGAAACCAATATCAAACACTTGTCTGACATCCGCGCGGGATACCTGTGTTTTTGTGGGGTTCCTTATTACCAAGGAGGTGACAAGGACAATATTGCAACGGCCGACATGTTGAAAAGCACTTCTCTGCAAATCCTGTAAGTAGCCATTTGAAATCACCGAGAGGCGGGAAGAACTTGCAAAAAAGGACTTTTAACGCGCTTCCTTATAAGGTAAGATCACCATGCATGGTCAGCAAAAAGTTTGGCAAACGAATAAATTTTCCGAAGCAATTGTTTGACATGCAGATGAAGGAACAACAGACAGCCACTTTAATAACACTTTATTACAACAAATAATTCATGTCCATAATCCTTTACTTTTATTTTCATAGCAGCAATGCACAAAGCGGCTGGCATAACGCGACGGGCCAAGGGACTATTTTCCGTAGGGATGTTGCATTAAAGGCCTGGGACCACGCTGGTAGGGGCCGCGGCCTGCGGACCTCCTATAACAACTCGAAGCGATGTGCCCYGGGGCGCCGCAGGCGTAGCAGTATACTCTGGGTCTCCTAGGTCCCGGACGCGTAGGCAGCTGTGCGGGAGCTCCAGCGGCGGCAGATCCTCCGCTCGGGCTTGAAGAGCTTTTAAACGTCTTGTCCACCTTGCTCACCGCCTCCAAAACCTTGGCATATTCCTTGTCGGCCAGGAGTGCTAGAAAATAGGCCTTAAACTGCTTCTTGGGGACAGGCAGCTTCTCCCTCAGAGTACAAGCTATCACGTCATACGAAGAGGCCTTCTCGTGAGCCGCCGACTTGGCCGCGGTGGCCAGCTGTTCCGCCATGGACAAAGCATCATATTTGTCAAAATCTTCCTCGCGTCTGAATCCGTACTGCGTGATCTTAGCCAAGCGAGTAGGGACGTCCACGTTCGTTGCGGCCTCCTCCAGCGTCGCCACTCTGGCCGTCAATAGGGCAACTGGGTCGTTCTACAAGCAACATAGACTAGTGTTACTAACACAGCTGGCTGGCTGCCAGCCCTTGGGTGGCATGAGGGGTGAGAATCATTATAAACAAAGCAGGCACAAGCCGAGAGCAAGCGCGGGAGTGCGCAAACCCACCCAAGGGATGGCAGCCTGAGCGTCAGTAATCCGACTAGGGCATTAGACACCCTTTCAGGCAAACCATAGGAGAGATCCTAGCTCAGAGAGGAATAGAGGATGCGAGAGTACAATGTCAGCTTGAGAAAACATCCAACACCAAGACAACAGGGCCGATTCAAAACAGTCATGATGTTCGCAGTGGCGCAGGGTCATGAATCGCCAGAATAACTCAATGTAAGGCCTAATAAGACCGCAACCCTTCAACAGTACACAAAACTGCTTACGTACCCAATACACAAAACCAAACATGTGAAAACAAAACAGGCTCGAAAAGAGTAAAGCCCTACTTGTTTACAAGGTTCAGCACGTGCAACAGTGCGCACTGGAA